TCTCTTGGTAATTTACTGACCGTAACAGGGCGAATTATTGTACGTTCTACTTCCGGTATGGTATCATGTACTGGAGCAATCGGCTGTATTATTGAAGAATTACCGAACAGTTCATCACTGTTTTGTAGCTTGTATTTTTTTATTCTTGCTACATTGACTGCAGATTTCTGCGCTCCGTAACCAAGACTTGTTGATGATTCATTTAAAAAACTACTAGCATTCAGATCGATTGACAAATATCCACTGCTGGTACTTTTTGAACTCTGTTGACGAGCTTTATAAATATTATAACTCTCGTCCGGCTTTGTAAATACCGACAGAGATTGTTTTAATTTGTTAAATCCCGGTAATAAGTATTCGCTCGTTGTGTTGACTCCATCAATACTTGTTATTGTTGTTTCTAGATTTTCATCTGTTGAACCAATATAGTAGAATTCGAAATCTTTACCCTTTTTCTTTCTTTTTTCCGCTGCTCCGCTGTAAAGAAATTCAAGAGTATTAAAATAATACCGTAGTAATAATCAAATCATGGTGGACTTACAGACAACAAAAACGGCAACAGCAATAACAACAAAGTGATAATAGAAGTGCCGCTACTAATGCAGATGCAATGATTAAAGGTAAGTAAGGTTGGATAGTGTCTGAAAGCAAAAAGTAAATGAATACTGGTCCTAACGCATTAACGTCTTATGGCTCCTTTGATAGTCATCAAAATGCCACAATGACTTTACTTTTTTCGAGTCTATGACGTCTATTAGGGTAAAGCATTAGCGTAATAGAATACAAGATTAGTGTACGGTAACTTACACCGTGCTGGTGTTGTTGTTGATGAAGTGCTACAAAAGACGATCAGAAGCGTTTAAGGTATGGAAAAAACTGTACAGTACAAGATAATCTCACCTTGTAGCAGAGGTTGAAGTCGTACTCGTCGTAGTAGTCGCAGTTCTAAAGTTAGACACTAATTCAGTTCATATCACGTGAAATTCATATTAGTTGTTCATATTAGTTGATAAAAAAATGTTTTAGATGCATATTTTTCTTTTTCTTTAGAGAGTGACAACCATATGGTACATGGGACTAATTATATTTTGAAGAAGGCAGAATCAGATTCTATCTACACATGCGAACATTTAACCTTCTGTTATTTTACATCTGAAGTACATTTGTCAGAAAGACACGCACGTGCTTGTTGTACTTGTCGATGTTGTGGATCTAAACAAAACAACTGAGATAAGATATCATCGCAAGTTTAGTATGTCAGTACGTACGTAGAAGTAGTGGTCGTCGAAGTTGTAGTACTCGTAGTCGATGTTCTGTGAAGTAGAAATATTGACAACTAATATTCTTTAATATTGACGGATCATGCAGAATCATAATACTCACGTTGAAGTGGATGTTGTGGTGGTGGTGCTGGTTGTTGATGTGGTACTCGTGCTTGTACTAGTGGTTGATGTGCTTGTTGAAGATGATCTAGAAAAGGACTAATCTTTCTATTACTCAAATAATCGCAAAAAAAACTCAAAAAATACATTTGTGTTTGGCAAGAACTTACGTGCTTGTACTAGTGGTTGATGTACTTGTTGAAGATGATGTGGTACTCGTGCTTGTACTAGTGGTTGATGTGCTTTCTGTAGATGATCTAGAAAATGATTAATCTTTCCATTGCTTAAATGATCGTAAAAAAACTCAAAAATACATTTGTGTTTGGCAAGAACTTACGTGCTTGTACTAGTGGTTGATGTCGTAGACCTATGAGATAGAAAGCTATGAATGATTGTCTGCCAGTTTTCATAAAGAAGAAGATATTGAGGGCTATGTATCTGAAAGTACTTACTAAAGAAAATATCTAGCTGAGGACATTTGATCTCAATTATCTCAACTACTTGTTTTTTTATCCCTGAGTGCTTGATTAATAAATCATAAGTGTGTCTGGGACTCACGTGCTAGTAGTTGAAGTCGAAGAGGTTGAACTAAAAAAAGAAACACAATACAGATGATTCTAGTCATATCACTGCCTCACACATAGCAAGCATGTGTAATATCTATAACTAGATATCACTTGGGCAAACACATATTCTAAGTTTTAAGTGTCCTTTTCAACAGATGAATTATTCGATCTCTTCATTTTTTTCAACTGGTTTTACACTTTATTTATGAAATAAAACTTTATTAATTACAGTGTGTAGCTCAAGTTAATATTGAAAGGTCGTCGTTCATAAGTTAAACATCCACATCCAATCTTCCATTGACCCGACAGTAATAGATGTTTAGTATAAACTTAATACAATGTACTGTTAGAAAGTCATTTCATTACGGAAGGATCACGCTCTTCAGAAATGTCCTTGCTTTCTGAACAGAAAGTCAACAGCGTAGTCTTTGATTAAAGTCTTGATTTGTACGGCGATGAAACATTTACTATACTGGCGTTTCCAGATAGAAAGAAAGATTTTTCCTAAAACTGAACTTACGTGGAACTTGTCGAAGTTGTTTCAGAAGTTGTTGTTGCGGTGGTGGACGAAGTTGTAGTTGACGTGGTGGACGAAGTTGTAGTTGACGTGGTGGCCGTTGTCGTTGTGGCCGAACTTAGAAAAAATACTTTCTTAAACTTACTCATATCAGAATTAAACTCAAAACACATTCAGAAACGAACCGTTATTTCACGATCCAGAAAAGAAGTTCATCATATTTGGCTTAGCAGTTCAGTTTCATAGTCAATTTTAACCATGGAGCAAAAGTTAGGAACTTATTTAGATTCGCGGGTATTTGGGCTGTCTAAGGTTAGCGTTTAATGTTATTTCTTCGTTTTATGTCTGTGACATAGTTATCAACAGAATAACTTCGAGAGCGCTATGTGATGCTCCAAAGAGTTTCTACAGTTTGACAAAATAATTCAGTGGCGGATGTTTAAAAGAGATGTGGTTATGAATGATCCTAGTTGACTGAATATTCATTCTAATTGTCACCATACGCAATTTTGTTTTTTAACTTTGGGTGAAAATAATGCGTCACTATGGCCCGCTTTTATCCGAGAAAGAAGTAATCATACATCAGACAGTAATCCGTTAAGGAAAAAGCGGTTTAAACGGAAGAATAAATGTGAATCCTTTCGAGCTAGTCATCACACTACAGGTTTGATTTCTGTTAGTGTATTAGGATGAGGACATTTGTTTTTTTGTATATGACAGTCCCCTTACCTCGTTGATGTAGTGGATGTGCTTGTCGTTGTTGAAGTAGTTGTTGTCGGACAAGTAANTAGGATGAGGACATTTGTTTTTTTGTATATGACAGTCCCCTTACCTCGTTGATGTAGTGGATGTGCTTGTCGTTGTTGAAGTAGTTGTTGTCGGACAAGTAATACCCGTCCCTGGACACCCGCATTCGTGATCTGCAGTAACGTAAAGAGTAAAACAATACTGATCCGATTGATCTCCAATACTATAACATAACAAGAAAATATACAGGAATTACTTAATGCTTACGTTTCTGAAAATATAAAATTTCATATTTACGTGTCAACAGCCATCGCACACAATATTTGCGGTCCAATCTGACTATAATCTGGTATCCATGTCACATTTCTGTAGTATGTTGTTGAATTAAATTTCGTAAGATTGCCCTTGCCCATGCCAGGTATGGATAATGTCGATATTTCTGCAATGCTTGCTACAGATGGGCAGTTATCGATCGCAATTATGATTGTGTTATAAGGCACTCCAGCTTGGACAGGTGTGCACGAAGATTCAGCAGGAAAACCAACAACTTGTGGACTCACTGCACAAGACGTAGGGTCAACAACATGAACAAGAAATTGTACGGGAACTGTACTCATTGCAGCTGTGCTCGTTGTGCTGATAAAATCCTCTACCTACAATTAATATTTTCATTTATATGTCTGACCTACAGCAAACGTTTTTTTACTTTTGTTAGAACTTATTTTATGGCGCATGCTTTCTGTGCGACGTACAGAGAACGTTGTTGGTTTAGAAAAATAAGACGACTTACGAATGCGGACACCGTCATTGTTCAGCTTTTCTTATTGATTTTCTATGAACTTAAGGTTGTCGGGCGAAAGAAAAAACTATTTTTAGCTGCTTTATAGAGCTAGGCATCACCCTCAAGTGACAGAGTAAAGGATGATGAATGAGTTAGCACGATGACAACACGCTTGCAATCAGCTTCACGTTAAAGGAGACTACAGAGTTCCTTGTGATTGACAAAACTGCTGAGGGTACCTGCTTTCTTTCTTGCAAAAAATCTTTCATTTTGAGTTAAACGTAGACTAATGTAGAAAAGAATCTGAGGTATAAAATGCGCCCACTCCCGGCTCTCTACGACCTATCTTGAAAAAGTTATGAAGTTTATCCTTCGAAGCCTAGAAAATCCCGATTTTTCAGTTCTGTAAATTTTTCTCTCCTTTCCTAAATATTCAAAACTTTTTCCTGTAGATAGTCTAATAGAAGAAAGTGTGCACTTCAAAATGAGACGGCTTCCCGGATTTTCCGATGACTTTTCGAAATACAAACATGACCACAAATGCCCTAAAAATCAGAGGCCTATATACAATATGTGTTTTTCTCACTACGCATTTTTGCGATAGTCTCTTCAATGCAGTCATATTACGAACCCTCGAAAATTGGTCGGATTGAGCTCAAATTTTTACCACAGATACTTTAGACCCTATCTCAGGTCCGCTTTTTCAGCATTTTCCATTTCAACTTTCAGCGCGAGAAGGTTTTTAAAGTAAAAGAGCTGGTTTTCTAGTATTTTTCGAATATCTCGAGAAGGAAATCATACTTTTTCGAAAAGAAAAAAACGCGATAGGGTCTAAAATATCTGCGGTAAAAATTTGAGTTCGATCAGACCATTTTTTCTAGGGTTCGTATTGTGACTAGATGAAACTAGAGTTTTCCAGAAAACTCATATAAAAACATGTTAGAAAATTCTGATAAAAATACTTCGATTTTCTTTTTCGATGTTCTAGTTTTGGTATAAATTTCACCCCGGACAAACATTGGCTTCCCCGGTTTTCAAGAGGGTTAAAAAGAGAGAGGTACGCTTAACTGTCGATCAAACAACCCTTGTGAACAACTTAGCGGATTAGAAAGAAAAATTTCATTACCACCACTGGTATAGCATAATAAGCGTTAGATAGTGTTCCAGTAATCACCAATGTGCAGTTTGAATATAATACAGTGTTTGCAGGTATCATTGATGCAGTTGGACATGCATCACCACATTCAGTGCTGCTGTTTGCCCATCTGCAACGTAAATCATCATCGTTGGCGTCTGATACTGGTATATTAATAATTTGTTGAACGTTTTTTGGAATATTGAGCGGTGACATCATAGTTGCAAGAGGTGCCGAATTATAATAGCCATCTGGTCGTAAATACAAATCAATGTTCGTTGCTATAGACCATAGTGCACTAGCTGAACCTGCACCCGCTAATGGTAGCCAAGCATAAGGAGAAGCTGACTGATAGGCCACTGTGAAATTGTCATTCAGATATAATAATTTTGTATCAGTACGTTGACCAATAGTTGTACCCATTATAGGATTTGTATCTGTACATTGTGGTATGATATGCGTGGATGAATATCCACGTGCATTTCCGGATGATCCAGTGTTACATGGAGAGATACAAGTTAATGTATCTGTTGGTATAGTTGTATAAGTGCCGTAATTGATATACGAATGATTTGTTATCATAGCGTTTGTACAGTTGACTTTTCCATACGTCCAGGAATAAGTTTGTGTAATGGTTATATTAATCGGATTACTTGTATCATTGAAATCGGTTGGATGCCATGTTATTGTACCGCCATTGAAATGAGAGCCGGATATAAAGGTAAGATGAACAAAAGCTGCCGTTATGATGGCAATCATTTCACAGAGTCAACTTTGTAAACACGTACTGATTATGTAAGTACACATAAAGCCATCTAGAACTTCGAAATAAAAAAAGCTCGTATTGAATTTGAGAAATACAAACATTTTTATTCATTGAGCCCGAAGAAATACATCTGTCACTTCAAACCAGAATACTGACAGCTCAATATGAAACAACCTTGAGCACTTATATAGCATTAAAGTTAATTTTTTCCTTTTTCATAGTTTTCTGCTTCAATCCTTGAACTATGGTTCCACGATGTAAAAGTCGTAAAAATCTTTTCATACCGATCTAAAACGTATGTCGATTTGCAGAGAAAATTTGATTTCTCAAATTCAGCGCGAGCTTATCGATTCTAGAGAAAAGATTTTTAAGAAACGTTATTCAAAATCCATACAAAACCTGCCATCATTGACTTCTTACTATACGCATTTGACACAATGATTTGAGTTTTAACACAAATAAATCAAATAAATTTAGAAAATACACTGTCATTGAGAACTTTGAGTACTCACTGTGAAACAAAGATTTATCATGTTTGCACATTCAACAGAAACAAAAACATAATTGCGAACTTTGCGTACTCAAGTGAAACACAGATTTATGATGTTTACACATGCAACAGAAACAAAAACATAATTGCGAATACCATTAAATAATTTCATATTTTCAATTTATTCAATATATCTATTTATACATAATTAAAAATCAATTCAATGTAAATACTATCGAGATTCGTTTTTATCGGATTTTAATTATATAAAAACTCAAGTTTTATTTGTCATTCATATGAAAAGAAAGATCATGACGAACAATGTTCGTAAACAATCATAATCAAACATAAACAGTCAGTGTAAACCATTGTTATCAAAATCTTCGATTAGATCGTAATGTCATTTTGCTAAAGCATTCATCCCTCATTCTATAACTCTAAGCATTTGTTAACTCTGTATAACAGCTAAAAACAAACATGGTTATCTTAATACTACTGGTAAGTAGACAGGTTAACAGAGCCGCTGTTGGAAAAACACTTGAAAGTTTTCTGCCGTCAAATATTTTTTCCACAAAAAACTCAAAAAAGATGCGTTTTCATGAGGAAAACACGAACCATTTTAGTTGGAAAATATGCTTATGAATCAAATGCCGATTTCTTTAACTTATCGCAAAAGTAAAGTTTTTGTCAACATTGTTTTGAGTAATTTGAAGTAGTGAGTGATATTGAGGAGCATCGAACATTAAGCACATAAATTGAATCGATTTTGTATATCGTTCAAGATCGAATAAATTGTTATATTTCTTTCAAAATTTGTCTAGATTTTTATTTCACTAGAAGAAAATGTCAGCATGGCTCGATCAATCAACAGTACCGTTCGTTAGACAAAGATCAAGTATAAAACTGATAAAATCTGACGATACCATCGTAAGAATTGTAGAAATTAATACAGCAGCTACTTTAAACCGCATTTTATTACAAAAGAACTTTTTATTTATTTAACTTTTTATTTATTTATTCCGAATAAATAAATAAAAAGTTCTTTGTACTGTATTATTTAACTACTATTATTTAAAACGTCGGTAACATTTCGACAAAACCAAGTTAAATATACAGACAAAACCAAGTTAAATAATACAGACAAAACCAAGTTTAATAATACAGTACGTTCCATGTCGCTTTTCATTTTTCCGGAAGGAATGTCAAAAGCTGTAATCTTAGATCCGGGTAGATAGAGTATTCTCTTAATAGTAGGCATGCAACCGTAACCGGTCATAACCGTAACCGTAATAACCGGTCGAACGGTTAACCGTAACCCAGGCTGTGAAAAATGAGCCATAAATGACTCATTTATGGACCATATATGGCTCATTTTTAGATCATATCTCTCCCACATTTATCTCATTTATTATATTATAATATAGTGATAATTTTGTCATTCTTCTATGGAATAAATATTATCTTATTATGGTCATCGAAACATGATCGTATTACCATCCATCCTATTTGGATCATTTTAAGGCTATTTTAAGGCTATTTATGAAATAAGAAATGCAAAGAAGAAAAAATACGAAACAGCTCGTGCAGAGATTCAAACCCTTAGCCTGTAGATCATAAGTCTGCAATGCTATCCACTACATCACATGGCTATACAAATATATATGTATTTGTTCCTTCTGTTTCCTAATTTTCACTTTGAACTTTAAAAAACTAGTAATTTTGATTAATTAGCCTCTAGTCTTTTTCACAAGCAGTGTGGAAGGTTGAGCCTAGAGAATAATAGATAGTAAACTTAATTTTTGACATTTTTTTACTTCCAGTCCGATCTTGAAAAACACTTCCTTCATGGAGAAAAACGGAACATAAAATTTAACAAGGGTTTTTTACCCTGAAGAAAGGGTTATAGATTTTTGCATACATAGACGACCTAGCCCAACTTTGAAAACTACAGTGCCGGCGCAGTCTGATGCGCATATTTTTCGAACAAATGGTAATTCTGCGAGCTAGATACGAAAGTTTTCAAAACCAGGGTGTTGCAAATCTCTACCCGACATACCTCTTTCATGTTCAGGGACTCAGCTATTTACAGAAGTCTGAAAAGTTTTTGAAGATACAAGATAATGTAAAAGAAACGAAAAATCTGTCTCTATCACTAATATATTTAATAAAAACATATTCAAACTCTGTCTGCCCACTGTATACTACAAAACAAAAGT